GGGAAGAGGAGGCTCTGCTTTTAACCAGTGAACACCCTGATGAGAAAAAAAGACTGAACAAAAGAGAGAAAACTTCATTAGCACCAAGGAACTGGGGGCGCTGCACCTAGCCCTGGGGGCTGGTCTGAAAGTCGTCCTGACCCGATTACAGTATGAGAGACCGTCAGTGCCTGCTCAGAGCGCCCCCTGCTACCAGCTGGAGGTACTGCAGCAAGGAGCAGAAGCTGGAGGAGGGCGCCCACCAGCTCTGTTCCCACGCAACCCACCAAAAGGAGAAACTCTCCAGCCAGGCGGTTCTGCTGACTCTGGGCTGTTCAGTCCCCACCTGGGGCTCTGGGTCACACTTTGGGCCCTGCAGGACAAGGAGCCCTCCAGAAACCACACCCTGGGAGAAACCTCTGAGGAAAGGAGGAGCGTTCAGGGGGAGGGGAGGTGCTGAACTCTGGAGGAGGATGCCCAGCAGAACAGCGGGTACAGTGAGGCCCACAGACAGGTAATCCAGAAGGGCAGATTTTAATTCAGTATGAAACCTTCCCAACAAGCGACCGAAGCCAAAATGGTCTGCTGTGAAGAATGGCAAGAGCGCCCTCTGTGGAAGGGGCTGGATGGACAATTTGCAGGGATGCCGATGAAGAGCGCCTGTGGCCCCCCCCCCCCCCCCCCCCCCCCGGGAGTATGGGCACCTGTCCTTTGCTCTAGGAGCATCTCTGTGCTCCAGGGCATCACTATTTCCCTAACCTTGGGATGCTGTTGACTCCTGTGCTGGTAGTTGTTTTTAGTTTTACACTGAAGAAAAATTCAGAGTAGAACTGTGACTTCTGTTTTACCGCTTATGTAGCTGACTCATGTCTTTTACAGTTTCAGCACATTTTCAGCAGCTAGAAAATTTTTCCATGGGAACTGAAAAAGGGAGATGCCCTCATACATACTACGCATAAAGGGGAGGGTCAGATCTCAGGGAGAAGGACCTTCCACCCAGACGGTAGGCCAGTACCTTCTAATCCTGACAGCCTCTGAGCTGTTGGCACAGAGGGAGATGCAGCCCTCCATCCCTGGGCCTGGATTCTATGTCTAGCAGGACACAGTAAGTCCCAAGAGCCCTCCGCCAGCTGCAGTCCTGGGTGCAGAAGTAATGCCTTCCTCATTAGAACACTTGCCTGGCCAACATCTCTTTAACCCCAAGGAAGCTCCTTAGAGCAAGATGCCCACTTTCACCTGCCTGTCAAGAGGAGCTTAGAGAAGATGAAGATGGAGGATGAATGCGGGGCCCTCCCCTACAGAGCCACTGTTAGACCTCACTCAGGCTTCTGAACGGCAAAAAGACCCAGGGCAGAATGCATTTAGGTGCCATGACCCCTGATCTCAAGTTTAGATGTCAGAACCTGCCTCTAAAGTCAGGGCCCAAGAGAAGGAGATCGTTTCAGCTTCCCCTTTGAAGCCAGAGCCAGTCAAACTGTCCTGTCTTTCCAGAATATGATCTCAGTCCTGATTCCTGAGAAACAATGGATGAGGGAGGGGCCGGCCCTTTATGGATCCCTGGAATGGGGACAATCATTTGTCACAGCATGGGGACACAAGGGCTACCCACTGCTCCCACCTGTATGGCAGAGCCTGGTCCACCCCCCTCAACCCAGAGAAAGGGGTTTCTTGAAACCATTAGGGTGGCTGTGTGTGGGCGGGGAAGTGCCGACAGTAACCTCAGGAGACGCTGCGAGGCTTTTCTGAGTGAACACTTCCCAGCCTGTGGCCGTCCCAGGCTCAGGTGCCAAGTCCTGTGGAGAGGTGTCCTGGGTCCTCCGGGACTGCAGGGGAGGCCCAGGGCCAGAGGAAAGGGAAGAGGGAGGAAGGGAAGGAGAGACAGAGACAGGAGGAAAGGAAGAGAGAGGAAGCAGGAGAGACACACACACAGAGCCCGTAAATAGCCCAGCTTTGTAAGTCCCACACCCTTAAGAGTTTGTGGCTTAGGTCAGGCCAGTGGGGCAAGAGAGAGAAGAGCTGCCCCTTGTGGCCCTTTAAGGAAGGGAGGCCCACGGTCAGCTGCCAGCCAGCACTGTGCCTTCGGACCCTTTGCTCCCTGCCCTCACTCAAGAGGGATGCGGAAACATACCACTCTCCTTCAAGAGGCTCCCAATCAAGAGGCTCCCAATCAAGAGGCCGAGGAGCTATACCATCCAGACTCCGATTACAAGTCTGCCCTGGGTGTCTTTGGTTTAGGCAATGGTTCAGTCCTGCCGTTTGGCTCTTAGCCCTTCAAAAAGTCCTCTTTGAAATGAAAATCTGGGTTTGGCAAATGGGAACTTTTCTTTAAAGTTTGGAGTCCCGGGCGCCTGGGTAGATCAGTCGGTTAGGTGTCTGCCTTCGGCTCAGGTCCTGATCCCAGGGTCCTGAGATCGAGCCCCACATCGGGCTCCTGGCTCAGCAGGGAGCCCGCTTCTCCCTCTCCCTCTGCCTCTCCCCTTGCTCATGCTCTCTCTTCAAATAAATAAATAAAATATTAAAAAAAATAAAGTTTGGAGTCCCTATTTTAAGTTCCCACTGTTTTCCCCTTGGCCCAGATGAGGTCCAACAATATATGAGGAAGCCACTAGGACATCTGATGACACAGCCCTGCAGGAGAGCCTCCATAAAGTCCAATCAGGGATTCCAGTCACCATAAGCAACGGCCCCATGACTGTACAGCACTTTCTAGTTTATATAAAGTGCTGTTATACCCATTATTTCACTCAGCCTTCCCAGCAACGCTATGGAATGGCGATTCTGGTCCCCCTTTAGATGGGCTGACTAGGCAGCAAGGTTCAGAGAGGTGATATCACTCACCCAAGAACCCAGTCCAGTCCTTGTCTACAGCTTCTCCCCATCTTCCAAATCTTCAAGGGTCTCTTAATGCCAGTGGGGCCTGGAAGCCAGTTAAATGGTCCATAGCTCCAAGGTGAGCTCCTGGACCAGAATTCTTTCCAGCAGTGGACTACACTTCTTGGGGCATCAGTGAGGGGCAAGGGTTGGAACAGACCCACCTCTGAATAAGACCCTTCTTCTAGCAGTTCCAGCTATGACCAGCAGGTGGGGCACACTCCCAAGCCACGCTGCTCTGAGGCACCAGGAAGCTCTGCAGCCCGCTCCCCAGGGTTCATCCTGCCCTGCTCTGCTAGAGTCCCACCCTTCCAAAAGCCTCTGCATTCCTCCTCAGCCACTGCCAGGCCACTGTGGTCAAGACTCTCAGGGCCGGAGAAGTGGGCCTGTACCTGGATCACTAGACCAGCCCCCATGGCCCAGCCCAGGGTGCCAGGGGTGACCACAGGGGCTCTCAGTAGCTGCAGATCTGCCCTCCTTCCATAGCACTGGACTTAAAGGCCCTCAAAGCATCCCATATTTCATGAATCACCAGCCAGGAAACTACCACAGCATCCTCACTGGACGAGGCCCTGTTATCCGGCATGTCGAGGCCATGGGGAGAACTGATTCAATCAAATGTTCACTTTGTAGGTCACGACTGCATCACCAAATTTCAAAGCACTGGAGGGCAGTACATACACAGTTGACTCTATGCTGGTTTTCCCATGATTTGGTCTTGCTCCCGGCAGCTGTGATTTAACAGCAAATACAATGGCCAGGACACAAGAAAAGCAGGTTCTGGCCCCTCTTCTATCAGCTGTGACACTGAACAAGTATGTTCCCATTCGGGGCCTCAGTGCCCCATCTGTAAAGTGATGAGCTTAAGTCAAGTAGGTTCTGAGGGTCCTTCCAACTTTAAAAGGGGTTCGGGGGGGGGCACCTGGGTGACTCAGTCAGCTGAGCATCTGACTCATGATTTTGGCTCAGGTCATGATCTCAGGATTGTGGGATCGAGTCCCATGTCAAGCTCCCTGCTCAGCGTCGAGTCTCCTTCTCCCTCTCCCTCTCCCTTTGCTCCTCCCCTCGCTCATGCTCTCTCTCTCCTCCTCTCTCAAATAAATAAAATCTTTAAAAAAGAAAAAAGGGGTTCTAATTTGAAAATAACCTTCTGTATGAATCCCAGGACTCTCAAAATGAAACAATAATTAACTCCTACTGAGCATCTAGGTACTCTACCAGCCCCTCGATGCTTGATCTCCCTGGATCCTGACAACTTTCTTATGAGGTAGGTACTTTTATTATCTCTGCCTAATGGAAGCTCAGAGAGATTAAGTAATAAGCCCAGAGTCATTCAGCTAGCAGGAATCAGAGCCAGAATTCAAACCCAGGTGGTGTCAGTCTGGATCAGTTGGGTTTGAGACAAGTAAGCAGCAGTGCTAGAGAGAAAACACCTAAGTCTAAATGGGGGTAAATACTGCCAAGATTTAGCAGTGCTAAAAATAATAGCTTGGGATTAGAAGTACAGGAATTCTCAAGATCCTATCTTTATCTCTTTTTCATTTGAGAAAATAACCCATGCTTTCCACTCCGAAAGGCATGTGGGTGTGGGATCCTTTTCTGAAGCAAGAGGCTCGGGTCTAATTTTCTTGGAGGATCTGTTCCCCTCTAGTGGGCTCCGAGGATCCTTCCGGGAGGGAACACCTCCCCCCCCACACACACACACCACCCATCTGTTTTCACAATAGGCACTAAAGGATCTGGCTACTGGATACAACTGCTGGGATTCTCAACGTTTAGCGGGCATGAGAATCCCCAGGGCACTTGTTATTCCAGGGCTCTAGCTCCAAATATTCTGATTCTGTTGGTCTGACATGGGGCTTATCTAATAAACACCCCTTTCCAATTATACTTCGGGGAATACACCAAGCCACGGCCAGTCTTTTGAGTTTTTCAAGGTGGTCCCTGGGGCCGGAAGGATTCCAAGATGTAGTGAATTTGTCTTTCCCAGCCTAACGCACCACTGCCCCCCACCCCATCCCCATCATCACCTCATGCAGCAACTGGGGGAGGCATACAGGTGTGGAAGATGAGTGTAAGTTGGTGCAGAGCAACTTTCCCGACCCTCTTTAACCCAAAGCCCCTGTTGAGGGGTTCAGGGTGAGACCTACCTCGTTGACTTTCTCAGGGGTGCCCTTGGGGGAGGGGGAGGCGGGCGAGGAGGGCAGCCTGCGCTCCCGCTCCCAGTCTCGGTCCCGGTGGATCAGTTTGCTGTTGGGTTCCTTCAGGGTCCTCTTGAGTTCGTTGATGCTGGCCTGGTGCTTGAGCAAGACATCCTCTGGCTTGTCTAAGAACTAGGGGTGGATGGAGAGGGCAGCGGGTGTTAGAGGAAGAGCTCTGAGCAGGGGATGGTAACCGTGGCCATTGCTGCACTACAGCAGCAAGGTGATTCCCATCCATGACTCCATCTCACCCTCATGGCACCCCATGAGCCAAGGGCGCAGAGATGATTAGCCCCCACAGGTACACGAAGCACTTAAGATTAAACAGAGGAGCAAAAAGCACTTAAGATTAAGAAGAGGAGGCTTCTGGTCAAGCACCACCTTTTCTTTCCCCCTGCCTGGCTTCTGGCCTCAGAACACCCAAGGCAACCTGAATCCCCGAAGACTAGGTGAGTTCCCACTGGTGCTGTGCGCCCAGTGTCAACTGGGCATGGAGGTGACTTCCTTCTGGTTACAACCAAGGCACAGTGAGTACTGGCCAACCCTGTTCGCTGGGCTGCTCTGGTCTACTCCCTGGCCCCTTCCTCTGGCCAAGACTTGGACCGCTGTGCTTAGCAGGATCCCCAGCCTAGACCCCTCTCAGTGGGACAGGTGAGCTGCTCAGATACTAAAGCCAGGGACACCCAGAAAAATGAGCCCTGCTCCCACACAGGAGCCAGGAAAAGACAGTGTTCAGCATCCTCTACTGTGAGCCACTACCTTTCCTAATCACCCAGGGTCAGGTACCTTGCAGATACCAACTCCTCAAGAACAAACAGAGTGAGATATGGCCAGATAGAGAAAAGATGGTGCTGCAGGGCATTCAGGAGGGCAGGAGAAACGGAGACTGGGAAGAAGACAGCTAAGTCCCAGGGCTGGGCACAAGACCTGGGCTGGAGAGAGCTGGAGTCAGGGGTGTGTCCGCCATTAAACCGCCAAGTCTGAGCTTGAGCCAGTGCAGCATGAGAGAGTAATCTGCCTCTAGGTCTTACGGGTAGGGTAGGGCGGGTGGGCTGTTAGTTCAAGCACCTTTAACTGCAAGGCTGTTTGAGGATTCTTGTCAACTCAATTCAGGACAAGAAGTGGACCATCTCCGCTTATTATAAAGTCAAATCGGCAGATTCTGGAAGATCTACCTGGAAGGCAAGCTTGCTCTTGGACAAGGCTGAGATCTTCCCCTCGGCTAACCTCTGGCACCCAAGGATCCACCATGACTAACGTGTGCATTACCTGGCGGAGGAGACTGATGCCACTGAAGCTTCTGCTTTCCCTCCAGACATCTGTTTGTCCTTCCTATATCCCCTCCTGAGCTGGACGGCCTTAGAACAACGTCTGGGAAGTCAAACTGACAGAGTTTGCACAAGGGGGTGGGCACGAGCTGCAGTGGACCCAAGATGTGGCTTGTAACCTTCTAGCTGATCCTGCCACGCTGCCCCTATGCGCACGTGGTGTCCCCGGGGGCGAGAGGGAGCAGTGGAACCCTGGGATCCTTGATTAGGGTTCAGGGCTTTGGGGAAACCTAGTCCAAATGTCTTGTTGTGCAGTTGCGGGGGGGGGGCTGGGGCCCAAGGGGGCTTACCCATGACCCTCAAAGAGTCAGGCTGAAACCCAGCGCACGTGATGGGCCAAGGCCAAGCCCTTAGGCCCCAGCCCCTGGTCCTTTCCCTCAGGCCCAACAACAGACCCGTGAGGCGGTGAAGCTTCAGAGGAGGAGTTGGGGACTGTGTGAAAGGGAACAAATTGTTAACGCAGAGAAGTTAAGTTGAGAGAAGCCAGCAGGGAGAGGAGGAAGACGAGAGGGAGGAAAAAAGGCTCTCCTTGCAGAGCTTGAGCAGCAGGCCCCGAGGGACAGCAGCGCACCAGAAGAGGCAGAGGCCTTCTGAGGCTCCTCCCTGCCCCCCCACGCCCACTCCCACATCGGTTGCCCGTAGATACAAAAAGAAGCTTCGGGTGAGGGCAGAGAGGACACAGATGAGGTGGAGCCATGACCAAATGGTGGTGTGGGGGGGAGATGAGTCTAAGGAAGGGTTTAGGTGGGGGCAGGGGGGATGAGACCAATAAAAGCATGGAACGGCCTGGAAGAGCCGATGGACAGAGGTGGGATGGTCAGCAGCTGGGAAGCAAGCATGGGGTGGTGGGAAGAGGCAGAATGGGAAACTGGTTAAAGGGAGGGAGGGGGGAGGAGGGCGGGAGGAACCAGTTGGCTAGGGGGTGGGGTCTGAGCAGGGAGATGGATAGATGGGGGGGG